CTTGAAGCAGCTCGAGCACATCTCTGAGGTGTATGCATACAGCGATTTCCATGGAGCAGATTCCCAAGGGTTGCAAGACATTTACCAAAAGGCACGTGAAGATGGGATACAATGCCAGGGCTTCGGAAGCTGTGCACTTGAAGGTCTCAGCGCTTTTGTTGGCTTCCTTCCTCTTCGCAGTAAACAATTTAGCCAGATTCTGCGATTTCGAACGAGGCAAAATCCACTGCTCCACATAATCAGCACAGATCTTGTAGAAGTCCTGGCCAAGGCCTTTCTCAGCAGCTTTCATAGTGAGCTGCATGCAAGTGTTCCTGCCAAGAGTCGGGGCTGGGCAGGCAGGAAGAAAATGATCATGCCAACAAGTGCAGTGCAGGAAAGGAAAAGAACTGGTATTTCGTATATATTGTTACATGCAAAACCAAGCATCCAAATGCCTTTGACGAAAAAGGCATGCATCCAGTCGTGAAGCCATTGGCTGACAGGCTTGGCGACAGTGCAGAGTTCCGGGTCAAAGATCAAGCTCTCAGGCTGATAAACGATGCCCACGGCCTGCTGCCACAAAGCAAAGTCGGTCTTAGTCAGCTCTTCATGTTTCTCCAACAGCTTCATGATGCTTCGGCTGAAATCCTCGTCGCTGTTCAGTTGCAGATCAGCCTCTTTGAAGCACTGATTCAGCAATCGAGCTTCTGCTAGCTCAATGCTATTGTTCGCCAGAATGTTTCGGCAAAGCAAGCAACACCGAGTACCTGCGTCCCCCTTTATCGAGAAAAGCAGCTTGTGTGCTGCTCCATCCTGTAGGAATGCAGCGAGCCTGAAAAACAGCCTTTCGGCTCTTCCACCATCAGGCCGCTTCAACAGCACTCCTGCTTCAGGGCTCGCATTGCCAGAGACGAAGATAGATTTCAGCAGCATGCCAGCCACTTGGCTCATACCACCAGGCAAATTGGACACCACAGTGGTTCTGACCAAGCACAGCGGCAGCCATGAGGCTTCTTTACTCAGGTTGATGGGGCATAGCTCAAAAAATGATACATAGATTGCCCAGACTTTCCGGGATGCTTCAGGCGCCAACGGGTTTCCACAATTGATTTCGTCGGAGTAAAAGATTAGCCTGCAAGGAGCACGAGTGTTACTGCCATGGAGCAATCGTCTCCACTCAGCAGAGGCGAGCCACAGGGCTTGTAGCAACGAAAAAAAATTGACGAATATGAGAGTCTGTTCAGCACCATCCTTGTCCTGCACTGCCATGCTCTGAAGCAATGGACCATAAGCAGAATGCTGTTCGAGTGCATTCTCTGTCGCCTCCTTGACATGTTTTCTTCCATGCATTTCCGGTAGGCCAGACGATTCCACCGCTTGCAAAAGAGCAGACATGGCTGCAGCCGACATAGGCGGTAGCCTTCGTTTGAAAGCTTCCAGCTTCTGCAGCTTAGCTCCTCTGTCCATGGGCTCTGACACCACTCAAAAAGATACCCTGATTTAGCGAGTTTCGTGCATGGCTCATCACAATACTTCAAAAAAGAAATAAATGCACATATTTCCTATACGGTCTATATTCATTCCCTGCATAGTGCAGGCCTCCCATGGCAAAAAAAGATAGCATGCGAAAAAGCTTTGCAAAGCGAAGGTTTGAAGAACAAATCCTAAAGCCATACTGGGTTGTCCGAGTCTGACAGGCAGTGGGCTATACGAGTGCTGTGAAGCCTAAAGCCTCGAACCATGCACGAAATTTGCATAGTAGTCGAGACTGGCTGATAATGTTCAATGCAGTGTGAAAAGCTGCAGCCTTAAAACCCCTAAACCATGATAATGCTTCAGCTTGAAAATCTGAAGCCTGACACAGCCGAAAACATGAAACTACCTTTTAGATTGTAGGTTTCAGGTTCTTGGTTTAGCCATTAATGGTTAAACCAAGAAAACAAGAAAATAACCCATATGCCAAAGCTTGAAACCCTAAAGTCGCAAAGTTGAAGCTTAAATGTTTGCATATAGCTTGCATGGTCAGCATGGCGCAATCCCTTCGTTTTCTGCTTCCCCCAGCACTGGCTTCACGGCCAATGATTCGGATAGCTCTCTTAAACACTTGAGCGAGACCATCCTCAACACCCAGCAAGCGCCATCTAAAGACATGCATCCATGTCCCATGGAACCTGCTATAGCCCGGAGGCTCCCCAGGAGTCTCATGCTTCGATGGCCAAATTGCACGAGCCTTCGGCCCTGCAGGGTAGCATCACTTGTCCCACAGCTTTGCTGCTGCTGCACGAGCTGATCTAGCATATTCTTTGCAAGCCTCATCGTCGCAGCCGCTTCGTCGGGCGATGTCTCTGCCCTTGTGGTAGTGCTTGTCCACGTAGCTGTCTCTGCGAGCTTTTCTCTGTGCAGCCGTGGGCTTCTCAGCGATGTACCGTGGCAAGCTTGCAGCAGTGGGCTTCTTTCCACCCTCAGCCTGACCCTTGGCTTTGGACTTGCTCTTGGGCTTGCCCTGAGCCTTACTGGCTTTTGATGTCTTCTGCCCATTGCCCGCATTCGCTTTCTTGTCCTTCAAGGCCAGGAAAAGCTGCTCGTCAATCCCCGCACGGCCTGTCTTCTTCTCATCAGTCGTCTTCTCGGCCTGCTCCTCTTCCTCACTCTCCTCATCCTCAGCCGGAGGCTCTTCCTCAGCCGGAGGCTCTTTGGGTGCTGGCGGCAACATCTTCAAAGCCTTAGCCTTCGGCTTCGGCTTGAACTGCTGTCCACCCGGCTGGTTCTGCTGGAAGACATTGGCCACCTGTGCGACAGCCTTCATCATGCCCATGAACTCCTGCATCCCAAATCCGGCCTGGCTTTGAGGAAAGCTGTGAAAGCCCGTAGGCTCGCTGTGAGAACAGCCCTTGAGCTCGGAAGAAGTGGCAGCAGGCTGCTGCAGCTCCATCATCTTCCTTTTCTTGCTCTGGGCGACATTCCTGTGGGAAGTTCTCACAGGGCACAGCTTGAGGATGTGAGGATAATTCTCTGGTCGCCGAGCCACTGGCTTCTCATCTGGGTAGGCCGCCTCGAAGAGGGCCCGGGGAAGTTTGGCAGGGCTGTCGGGGAACTTGACCAAATAGATGCTGTGATCAACTTGCTGCTCTTCCGAGTTCGCGAATGCCGTCTTGAGCTGACATGCAAGGTCGTGCATCTTGTCAGACGACGGAATGCTGTCCATGAAGCATGCCATCGTAGCGATCGAATGTTTCACGGTCGACTCTGCCAAGCTTCGGAACCCAAGGCTCTTGAGCCGTGCAATGGTGACCTGCTCCTTCGAGTACCAGGAAGCCTCCAAACTTGTCAAGACATCCCACTCGCTCTGGGTGAAGTAGTTGTACAAACACTTCAAATGCTGCGGCTTGAGCGACTGCAGTGTGGCAGGCTCCTGCTCCTCGCAAGCCTCGCCCATGAGCTGGTCCACTTTGCCGGCAATGGCTTCTTGCATGTCCTCCGGAAAAGAGCTCTCTTGAACTGCCCTGTGCAGCTCGAGAGCTCCTGCTGCATCCAAATGATGCAAGCTCTCTAAGCGAAACAAAATGGACTTCAACACCCCTTGCTGAAGGCCGCCGGTAGCCTTGCCCTTTCTATTGGCCAACAACTTCGCATTGTCCTTCATGTCTTGCACAACATCCTGCACAGACCACTCGGCCATCTCGGAAGGGCTTTTCAATGTGCTACGGCTACCGTTTGTCAGCTCGAGAGCTCTGCCAGCGGACATACTTACATGAATCAAATATACAGAAACATGTCAACATTATCTAAGAAGGAAACAACTGCTGGCATCAAAAAAGAGCCATGCCTCAAGATTGTGGTTTTTGCCTGCAGCAGCTGCTCAGGCACGAAATTTTATGGTCGACCAAGGGTTCGTGAATGCAAATGCTACATATATATATATACACACACAGCATCTCTCTATGTACATACACATGCTTCTATATAGAGAAAGACACAGAGAGAGAGAGAGAGAGAGAGAGAGAGAGAGAGAGAGAGAAAGAGAGAGAGAGAGAGAGCAGGTGCCGGGTGCTTTTCCCTGCTGTGTCGGTGTGGAGATGTTCGGCCGCACATGCTTCCCCCCAGGCAAGCTTCATTCTTGAAGCATGTCGTATGTCTCCTTTGTGTATAGTGCATGATCCTCGTATTTTTCGTCAAATGTGGATATACTGCATGTGAAAGAAACAAAATTTTCCTACATGTGCAGAAGTGCCGACCCCAGCCCAAGAGCTTTTGTATCTGAACAACACATAATTCTTGAAAGCTGCCGGCTCTATATAGGGCTTGAAGACAACCTAGGGATGGGCCACCAGGAAAGCCTTTTCCAGGTCTACTTTAGCCCCTGTATGATATTGCTTGGGAAGAATTAGAACGAACCATGCACTGCTCTTGTTTTGCCACACAGGAAGCAACTGCATCGTTCCCAGAGCCTGCACGTCGTGTGCTTTTGTGCAGGATCTGCCCAGCCAGCCATTCTCCACTGCAGAATGTAGAGCGGCCAGCAACCAACGGCTAGGTCTTTCCAGTGCTCCCCGGTGCCCAATTGGAAAAAAGCTTTTCGGCCGACTTCTGAGCACGACGGTTGAGCTGGCTAGCTTATCATCGACTATCTCTTGGACAACCAGCCCTATAGGCTCCAGGATCAGCACAACCGTTGAGCTGGCCAGCCCACCATGGACTATTTGGACCAAGTAGCCCATGGTGGGCTGGCCAGCTTGGTCCTTTCGCCTTTCTCCATTCTTCGCAGCCGCATGCAGAACCAGCCTCAGGCTCTACAAACAACACAACCGTTGAGCTGGCCAGCCAACGATGGACTACCTGCACCAGGTAGCCCATGGTGGGCTGGCCAGCTTGATGGCTTCGCCTTTGTCCATTTTTCGTAGCCGCAGCAACCAGCATATAGGCTCCAGGAGCCATAGCCAAATCCATTATCGCCTTGCACCGACTGGGCAACCGAGAAGGTGGTGAAGACGAATTTCGTCTTCACCACCTTCTTGGTTGCCCTCGGCTTGACCCGACAGCCTGACCAGCTCGCAAACAACAGCCCATAGGCTCCAGACCATTTGCAGTGCAGCCATGGAGCGAGGATCCGTAGAGCCGGCATGCATGCCACGGTTCCTAAGACTCCTGGGCTTATATAGGTTTGCTATATAGGCTTTGGGGTTCATGGTGTTCAACACTTATGAATTATATGAGGTTTAGGGGTGTCCGGGTTTCAGGGTTTACAGCTTAAAGGGTGCACGGTTTTGGTCAGCTTTGGGTTGCACAGCCATGCAACTTTCATGAATATCTAGCAGAGCAGCTTCGGCGACACTGAATGCTTCCAAGTTGACGGGTTGAATATTGTCCCGCAATCACGAGCCTCACGGCTTCCTTTCATGATGTCAGTGTGTGTGTACATATATATATATATATATATATACACGTGTATATATATATATATATATATATATATATTATGTTTGTATATTAATGTGCACGTACTCCTTCTTGTACTGGTGTGATGTGACGGAATGACTTGAATTGATTTGCTTTAGTTTCATTGAATCATTGATTGATGGCAGCGAAATCACGAGCCTCACGGCTTCTTTCCATCATGTCCATGCATATGTCTATATGTATATATGTATATATGTTTGTATGTATATATATATGTGTGTGTGTGCATGTGTATATATACATGTATATACGTATCTGTATATGTATATACATATATATATGTATGTATGTATATTGATGTACACATATTCTTTCCTAGACTGATGCTTGAACTGTTTTGCTTTCAATTGATTGAATCAATGATTGATGGCAAACCCAGCAGCCATGAACTTTAAAGCCTTAGACTGATTGTGCTTGAAGAAACAGCTCTCTTCCTGTTTATGTATTGCTATATGTATATATATATATATATATATATGTATATGCTTCCATATGCATACAGACACACACACATATGTATATAAATATGTAAATATATATATATATATATATATTTATATATGCAGGACCGCAAGGGCTATCCACGAAATCCAGAATCTGAATTATAGATTTTTTTTTTACTAAAAAAATCAGAATCTGAATTATTGGTGCTTGTTGCTTCCTTTTGTGTTGCCTTCCCAAAAAATAATTATTCTGGAATCCCGGTTACAACCAAGCAAACGGCTTCAAGGCTTCAATCTAGCCCAAGGGCTTTTCCAAAAACTAAGCACCCCCTGTAGGACAAGGCTTGGTTGCAATGTGAAACCACCCATGCACTTCTCTTGTTTTGGCACACACGAAGCAGGTGGTCTGTGCAGTAGTGAAGTGAAGCAAAGTCGCCGTGCTTTCCCCGCCGGACAGCAACAGCTGCTATGCTCTTTACAAGCCCTTGGGCTAGACAATCCTTAGAAAGTTTATTTATTGGTTTAAGGAAGACGGCTTGGCGACGAAAGTGCACACTAGAAGGCATT